TAGTGCACAGATACTGTAAAAAGCACAGCATATACCTAAACGATGTTCTCTGTAATATCGAATTATTGAACCCCAAATTGTTATTTGCAAAGACAAACCTTTTCCAGTGTCGGAGAAAATGCTAAATTTAATGTTACACACAACTTAAACTTTAATACCACAGTGTACTCTACAGTAGTCTCATTTACAGTACTTTACAACAATGATTTCCTCTGGTGTCTTGGAAAATGTAATCAACATTTGTATCTCGACTTGTTTGAGTAGTTTTTAGCCAAAATATATTTTACAATTGTTAACCTCTGATTGGCACTCTGATGGAGTCCCAATGGTTGAAATTTCAATTAACTGTATCTTAATGTGTTTACATGTTTTTACACCATACATGCATTTTGTGCACATGGGACTACATGAAACATGTTTAATGCTTCATCTGCATAAAATCTGAATTCCCAAATGCTATGTTCCAGATACAGAAACATCGTGCAACAGTGATGATCTGTTTTGGCCGATTGTCACATGTTTTGGTAAAATCAACATTCCCATGTGATCACAAATAATCGCTCCTAATTAGCAGCATGCCACATACCTCGTTAGTACCACTGGCTGCTCAACATTTTCCCAATTGTTTGCGGTAACGAATAGATGGCAGGTTCAAAGCACGGGGCACGTGCGTTGTTTCCCCGCAAGACCTAAGCTGAGAAAATGGAGTCTGCAGTGGAAATCACGTAAGTGGCAGAGCAATGCAGCGACTTTTCAGCAGCGTGGAATGTGGCCAGCCCACTCTCGAGGGAGAGAGAGAGACGTAAGCCCTCTCTGCGGGTGTTGGGAGACGGTGGTGACAACGACGCAGCTGTTAAATCTGGACTGGCAACTGGGGAATATGGTGAAAGGTGGCAGGGGTATGAATCCCATTATAAATGTTCCAATTAACACAAAATGAACCACAGCAAAAAAAACATTGGTATGTTGCCTTAATCAGTAATATTTAACCCAATCTCTTAATGGTTTTAACATGAAGCGATTGAGGCTGTAAAGCATATACAGTACTGTATGTGCAAGTTGCTTGTACAAAAATAAAAAGTATAATTTGATCATTTCAAAAGTGTCTACATCCTCAAAAGAGAAATGGGCAGTGCTGATTGCCATTCAGTCCCAATCCCATACGAATGCACTGTAGAAGGTGATCCAGATGTCTGGTGACCCCCAATTAATTTACCCCTTACATATTTTTCCCCCTTTGGTTATTAACTTCTGTTTTCACACCCATTGGTATACAAAACTTACGTTTTAGAGAATTAAATGGGGATCACAAGACATCTGGGACCACCCTCTGCTCTGTAGGAGATTAACTATCCTGGTATGACCGCTGTTGAATATGAAGTGTAAGTTCTAACAGGCCACAAGCTTGCCAATGAGACACAGCAGAACACGTGGTAATTTTCCAAAAAATCTGCATAAAAAAACCTCCCATCAGATAAATTAGAATTAATAATGCTGGATTCAGAAACGAGCAGGATATTAGAGCACACGCTGTTAACGTAAGTTTACAGCATTTACTTAAACAGCCATTTAAACAGCTCATGCCTAAGGCACTGTACAACATATAAACTGTGCACATGTGAGCATGACCCCTTTGCAGGACAGAAGAGAAACGCAGACTTTTGCTGACATTATCATTAAAATCGTACCGTGTGAACTTCAAAGTAATTGTTTGGTACAGTACTAGATTTAAATTGCAGTACTGTATTTAACATAGCTGAACTGGAATGTATAACTTGAGAATGTTAGTCTAGTTCATTGGGATTGGAGTCGACTAAGGGTACAGAACGGCTTCCTACTATCATTCAACAATGATTAATTATTAAAGCTGGTATTTATACCAAGTCGACATTCATCGTTAAATGTCAGTGACATCGCCACGGCACCTGTGCCAGGCCAGGTGCACTTTGAGGCCACGTGAGGTGTTAAAGGCTCGCTGACAGGAGGTCACGGAACAGACTCAGGTGCTATGGGTTGACTGAGATGGGTGGCAAATGCACCAGCTGTGCCCCCTACTGTGCTCCGCTCGTTGTTGTGAGCGTCGCTCCTCTGCCCTACGTTGCTGTTGGAGGGCGACTGCCTCCAAGTGCCCAGTAGCGTCCTTCACGAGCCTCCTCTGTCTTTATATCTTGCACCATGAGGCAGGAACTCTGAATGACATTTGTTTGCAAAAGCAAGTCAACGTTGTTCCCATAAGAAAAAAAATTCAGACGCCACCAGGAATCGAACCGCAACTATGAACTCCACCATATTCATTCAGCCAGACTATTTAGAGACAACTAATTTTTTTTCTAGAGATAAACACCGATTGGGCAGTAAGTGCACATTTTCAATGGGGATATTGTTACACAATAGAAACCTGGTTTACAGTAAAACGCATAGTAGCAAATAAAAAAAAACAATTGTGTGGTAAAGTTCACAATGCCAAGGTCCTACAACAACATGATACAGCAATCAGCATGTAGAAATATAACAAGGCTAATAGGTGAAATTAAAACACTTAAAACTGTTTCTACAGTCACTGTGAGTAGATAAAATCGTGGATTTTTATGTTATACATCAGCTTCCACGTTAATATTTGCCAATGCGAGTGTGTAAGCACGCGTGACATTTGACAGAGGGGTTGACGGGCCACGCAAACGGGCAGAGTAACCCTTCGGGAAGTCCTGCGAATCGAGAACAGTCACCTGCCCATCTATCATGACCTCAATCGCGTCCCTAGTCATCGCTTCAAGTCACGCCAAGCCCTTTTGGACCCGTGCGCTGAAACCTTCAACAATGCCAGTGCAATCCCCGATAAAGAATGGCGAGATGAATGGAGTTCAAAGTAACTCACAAAACACCGCCTTGTTGTGAAAGAGCCAACGCAAGAAGATGCCTGGGGTTTGGTCTTTAAACGAAGCTCATGGTCCACCCTAAAGAGCATCTACTAAACAACCACGGCAGTGGATGCGGATAGCTGATGGTGCACACAAGTGGAAGGTTTTACTGGTAGGAACCCACTGGTTACACCAGCCCACAGGAGATTATTGTGTCCGTCCGTCCGTCGTGCAGGGAGGGGCTGGGTGGGGAGGGAGGGGCTGGGTGGGAAGGGGAGGGTGGGGAGGGGCTGGGTGTGGAGGGGCTGGGTGGGGAGGGGAGGGTGGGGAGGGGCTGGGTGTGGAGGGGCTGGGTGGGGAGGGGAGGGTGGGGAGGGGCTGGGTGTGGAGGGGCTGGGTGGGGAGGGGAGGGTGGGGAGGGGCTGGGTGGGGAGGGGCTGGGTGGGGAGGGTGGGGCTGGGTGGGGGGTGGGAGGGGTGGGGCTGGGTGGGGAGGAGAGGGGCTGGTCACCCCGTGGTGCCCTTATAAAACGCAACTTTTAACCTACTCATGCCGGCTTGGGCCCGCCCTCACAGTCGGGCATATTTGCGGAATACACCACGCCGCCGTTGACCCTGCAGGCCATTGACCGAGCAACCCGACGTTCCAACCAGCTCCCTCCGCAGGAATGTGTTAAACTCCCCCAGTAGTCGCGTGTAACTCTGGTCATCCAGACATATCGTGACACAATTCCCGATCCACAAATACGAAGTCGACATCACAGCCATGATGATCCACTCCGCTGCTACTGACGCGGGTTGTCTGGCTTGACCATCACCTGAATGTGGGATTATCAACTTAAAAGATTAAACATTTATTTTATTATACCAGGTAAGGGGTCAGTTCACTACATAGCTCTTGTGCAGAAGTGAGCTGTCCACAAATGATAGCTCAACAAAGTGGCTTAGGGACCGTCCATAAATGACGTCAAAATCAATTAGGAAATGGTTGGTTGCTTTCGAGGACCGATGCCTGTGGTCAGAACTGCTGAGTCGCTAGTTTAATTACTGCAGCAGCTGGAGGTATATCTTTGCTATTCGGCCTGAATTAAGCCGTATCCAGTTGTGAGGACTTATTTGGCGGATAGGCACTGAGAAGCTGTGAAAATAATGGTTTGGGGCCGTCCATGGTTTGGGGGGTTGAGAAATGTGACGTCACATCAAAATTCGCAACTGTAAATAAATATAGACAACACGTTCCACTTAATTAAAGTCTTTTTATAAATGTGTTTTCCTACATCAGAGTGCAGCGCCACATTAAATACGCACTACAATGACAATGGTTTAAAGCGATTTGAAGCATGTTTTATTTTTTTTGGGGTGGGCAGAGCTTTGTGACGTCATATTTGAGGGGGGGTTTGACTTTTTGTGACGAGGGGTGGGGGTCAAAAAATCGTCCAAAATCGCGTGACGTCATTTATGGACGGCCCCCCTATCGTGTGGAAATTTACAGCAGCCAAATGCTCTAAACGCGTGGTGATGTTGACTCGAAATGTGGAGGGGGAACTCGTGAGGACCCTGAGAAAACTCCACGCGACCACGGGATGAGAGAGAGACACTCAAATTCCAAAAATACAGCAGCAGGCGTCAGGGTCGGGATGGAACCCACGACCTCCTGTGTACACTGTGCGAGGCGGTTCTCATCTCGCCACCGTGACACCCCCAGCTGTTACTGTGCAACCTACAGCAGCCGTGCACAGGATAAAGAATGAATGAATGACGGTGCAGTGGTGGGCAGGGCACCCTCTGTGGGCGAGGGGACGAGGATACGCCGTCCCTTTAGAGCCTAACGGGTTTCCCAAATTCAAATGCAGGGGAATCCACACAAAAAAAATGCTTTTTCAATAGAAAAAAAACTCGACATCCTAATTTTTTGTTCTTTACACGTAAATGCAATTTTAACAAAAATACAGCGTTACCGTACGTTAATTAGTCGTTAAATGTAACGTTCAAGCAAAAAGATGCTGCGAGCAGGTAATTAAGTCGGTGCTGCTGCACTGTAAATGTCCGCGTGAACACGCCGCCCTACTTTTCGTGGCGGAGTGGTATCGTGGAGGCGGGTGGGGGGGGGGGCTGTGACGCGGTCCCAGGGTATAAAGGCGGCGCGGCGCGGACGACTCCCTCCTCCGCCGTCTCCGGGCCCTGCTGCTACTGCCACTGCAACGTTAATTTCCACCCCTTTGCTAAGTTTAAAGTGGGGAAAACAAAGGCAAGGAAGCTCAAATTAGCATTACAATGGCTGTGAAACAGGTGTTCTTTGACCTCACCGCCGACGGCGCTGCCGTGGGTCGCGTCGTGATGGAGGTGAGAGATGATTGTGGTTTTTATTGTTTTTTTTTCTATTCTTTGTGGCGCTCGTGCCGGGAGCTGTTCCCGCCATTGGGATGGGCCATGAGGCCAGTTGAGCTAAAAAATATATAATTTTGTTAATTAATTCACCGTGCTAACTTAACTTTCCTGATTAAGTTATAACTTTAAAAATATAATGCTCTTGATGAATGTAAAGATATTAATTTGTTTTGGCTCTGGTTGAGTTTTTTTGTGTTGCGCATGGCGGGGACGTCCATAACGATCATTGAAATATTGGTTCTTGATTTTTTTAAATAAAATATTTATTGTTGTCTCGTTATAAGACGCCAGGGTAGGCCTGTAAATGGGGCAGGCATTAGTTAAACGTTCTAAAAGGTAGATTTTTTTTAAGGCTGCGTTGAGAAAATAAATGTCTTTCTGCAGAGCGCGGGATTTTGTGGCTTTTGCCGCCCCGCGTGGCCGCGTGTTTGAAGACGCAGCGACCATGCATTGTAATGTTTAATTTAATAAATGTTCAGTAAAATTAGGTTTTAGAATAACCCCACAGTTGACGGTACTTGGAGGAAGAGCACCAGCTACTCGTTAATGATTTTATAAAGATTTGCACGATTTTAAAGTGGGTTGAGTCGCGGTGAAGGATGTGGCTATGGCCTTCGGGGCGTTTCCCCGCCAAACCGAAATGATGTTTTCTAAACTCTTACTCCTAATCGATACTACAAATTGATACGTGGCTGTGTAATCGGAATTCTTAAAATGCAGCCAGACATCTAAAACCTGCACGAAAGTAAATTGCCTACGTTTGACGTTAATTCTGAAACCTCTAAACCTTGGAAGTACAGGGACACATTTACAGTACCTTGTAAAGGCAACGGAGCGCATTGTTAAACATCGTTGTAGAATATAATTTAAAGAGGGACTTTGTGAAATGGGCATGTGACAACATCTCTCTTGCCACAACTCCTACCAATGGCAATCTATAGGACTACGCGTCAAGTATTCGAAGAGGCGTGAATTATTGATCCCGACTTAATATTCTAATTGTTCCGTATAAAAGCCACCGGCCGTGCTGCGCCGAGGGAGGGCTCTGGGATTGCGTTTGTACGGTCGAGAATGACAACACGAGCCCAGGGCGACCCCTGCACTGAGCACACGAATTAAACTACGACATTTACGTGGGATTGCGGCAAAATGGTGCGTGGGGAGGAGAGGCGGGACGACGAATACTGTGCTTACTAACAGCGTCTCGGGTTGCTTTATTAGGTATGTTATCCCACCGCAGGCTACTAATTGCCCATGCTCTCTCGCTGCCTAGAGTCGTGCGGTGGTTTTTTTTTGCGACGTTGATGGCAATGCAAGTTCTCTTTACGCGGTGGGGGGGGGTGGGGCGGGATCGAATAGCGCCGCTCCCTGGCCTTCCCATCCCTGTACGGTGACCGGCACGGTGCAGTTCCCGTGAGCTCCTCTAGGCAGTGAACGTCTTGCTTGGTGCAGTGAGTGGGGTCGTGGCTCCACGTCACTCGCTGTGCACCACCGGGCGCTGTGGTGGTTGGGGTGGTCGCGCCCCGTCCTAGCAGAGGCATTTTTTTTTTTTACAATCGTGACCCCCCCCCCCCCCCCCCCGTTTGCCTTTTCGTGTGGGGTGTGCGTATTGAATTCCAGACGAAATCCATCATTGGCGACAGTTGCAGTCGGGTTGCATATTATTTTACAACGTCGCTTTGCAGTCAATTGCGCACAGCTGCTCAAATATGCAGGTGGGAGTGACATGCGCATGCAAGAGTCGAAAAGGCCTTGGGTATTGGCCCCCATTAATTATTAGCTCGTGTCATACAAAGTTCTGCATTTGATCAAAGCCACTTAGGCGAAGACCCAAGTGAATTGGCAACATCGTGTGTATCGATTGCCAAGTATAATGGGCGGGGGGGGGGCATCAGTACCACATTGCTTGGTGCACTGCGACATTGGCAAAGTCGCAACTAGTGGGTGCCCGTAAACCCTCGGTGACCAGCGCGATGAAGTATTGGTTAAAGCATCCAGTACTTGATTTGACAAAGGGATGTTCAAATTCTTCATGCATTTATCGGCAACCATAATGTCCGGGGGCGTGTTGGCGCTGTCGCTAGCGCGCTGTGGAAGATGGTGAGGTCATATCCTGGTGAGGTAGTCGACGATAAGCCCTCTTGCTCTGGGATTTATCAAAAGTGTTGCCACTAAGAAGTTACGCTGGTGCTCGTTTTTCGTGTCGACACGTCCCCAGCCATGTGACATTTCTACCACTGCCTCAAGGCGGTGTGGCCGCACCCACACTCTGAATGGGGGGGGGGGGGGGGTGAAGTAATTATAGCAAATGTTAACTTTATACATTTAATGGAGGTTTCGTCCATTTTCAGAACAATGCGCACTGGAAAATGTGTTTTTTAAGACTTGCGGGCAGAAACTCGTATTTGGCCTAAGGGGTCGCCCATTATGTGTCGTCTTTGACCGCAGTGAGAATCGACAAATTTTGGTCTTGGCCATCTCTGCATCCCTGTCATCTCTGCAACACTCACCCCACAACTGTGCTATCGCATTAAAGTTCCGGGGCGACAAAACCACCATGTATTTATCAAATGCTAGCAGATTTTTCCTAAAACCATCCTTTATATAACGGCATGTGCACGGGCCCATTACAATGTATTGTAGACTTGTCTCCCATTTTAAAATGCATTATGTGCTGTGTTACGCACTCTGCATTTGTAATGTTGTTTTTAGATATTAAAATCGCTTGATTTTATGCCTTATCCTTTCTGTTAATATAAAAATACAATTGTTTTGACACCACACGTTGCAACGGGCTGTGATTTAGTCGCCGAAATTGAAAGTAAAATTTTAGTAGACTGTCCTTGCCTCCAGTGTTCCCAAAGGAATGCATACACCTACCGCTAGACTATTATTCGTATACATGTCAATATTCACGTTTCCTCTTGGCCTGCCAAGTCTTGAGCTCTGAACACTTGCGTGATTCCAGTAAATAACGTTCCTGTTAGGTGCTCTTATCGAATGTTCAATATCCACGAATGCTTAGAACAATTACAGTACTTCGTAATTACCTCGCGAGATTACTCGGTCTTCATTTTGATTACATTTCATAAGTGTGGATATACTTCTACTTGAGCGTTATTCAGAAACCAATACTTATAATAGTCGCCAAAATTAAATTTAGAAGCCAATTGAGCGGGCAAATAAGTATCCAACTAAGTTTGAAAGCTTTAGCGGGTGAAATAACTAACGTACGTTGATTTATGTTCGAAGTGAGACGTGGCCGTTTCAAATGTAAGCTTCAGGAGCAACGTTGTACACCAGCACTCTGTCATTGGCTGCCTTGTTGATGGTCTTGTGCCTCTTGTGTTTGCCTTTCAGCTGAGGGGTGACGTTGTGCCCAAGACTGCCGGTAAGTTGCCTGTTACAGTACCGTGCTTTTTGTTAATGTGGTAAATTAGACTTTTGAGATTAGATGTATGTAAGATCAGGGAATTTTTCTCCTTAGCTGTTCGAAAATACTTGTGATTTAAAGTAAATCTTGGTGCTCTACAAACTGGGATTTAAATAATTTAATTATTGTAGTTGATGTACATAATTAGAGTGCAAGCTACTTTGCAAAAATAAATGGCCTCTGCATAGAAGCCTTGCAAATTTGTATTGAAGGTTTTCTGCATCTGTTTCCTTAAGCTAGCTACTTTCAATGGTAGGTTCTTTTTCCCAAGTAAACAGTTTAGTTAAACGGAGGCACAAATGAGCAATTGAATAACTTGATCCTTTTAAATGATAAGTGTCGCCAACTATTTAACTTTGAAGCGAGCTTTCCATAGAGCCTTGCAATACAAGAATGACAATTTAATGATCATAGACTTTAAGTACAAATGAGCGTGTGTTATGCAAGCTGATGATTTTAACATGAAAATTAGGGCAAAACGGTTAATTTTATTCGTTAGAAGTGATCGATAATGACCTGGTGGGGTTGCATTACAAAAACGGTTACATAGGTCCAATTTCACTTGTTGGGTTTTGTAATTTTAAAGAACATCAATTATTTGTGTATTTTTATATTTTGAAATGGGCCTAGCTATTTGCTGTTTAAGTGGTGCACATCTAGACGTCTCGTTGCAGTATGCTTTATGGTAGGCCCACTGCCAGTTTTGGCTGTTCTCCAGTACAATAAACACTTGCTTTGCAGAAGGAAATTGCGGAACATTGTGTGGGAACTTTGACTTGGATTATGTGGAGCTCCTATTGGATGTTTTGTTTTGGCTCCGTTTTTAATTCCTCTTTTTATCTTGTCCTTTGCTTTTAGAGAATTTCCGTGCTCTGTGCACTGGAGAAAAGGGCTTTGGCTACAAGGGGTCCACGTTCCACCGTGTCATTCCCGACTTCATGTGCCAGGTAAGAGTTTACACCTACAGCTTTACACAGGTGCCAATGGCAAGTGATTTGAACATGACTGAATTAACAACTTGCTAGGTTGAATGTCAGTATTAGGAATAACTTGGAATTTTATGTTAAGCTTTTTTTTACAGTTTAAATGCAACAGTTGTATCTTAATGGTGTTTTTGGATGATTGGAAATGTGCCGATTGAGTGCTCCATTTTATATCCCTGAAAAGTGCTTTGCACGTATCATTATTGCAGTGGGGGTCGTACGTGGAATTCTTTTGGTTTTTGTGCAACCTTTTAGCCATATGGTGAATTGATTAACCAGGTCAAGCTTTCAATATTCGAGTACATTGCGTTTCCACGTTGACCATATTTTTTATATGGTGCTCCAGGTCAAAGTATCACTTTGTGCATTGACAAACAATTGTTATGGCACTAAAAAACCCTGTAGTGGTTACGCCAACTCGTGGTTACAGCAATTTGCTGCTGAAATATTGCAAGGTCAGTGCTGTACAGCTTTGCAAGTGCAGTCTTGGGAATGGTAGATTAGCTGAAGTGCTGTGATGGAGTGCTCCGGTTTCTCTCCGTCGTAGGGTGGAGACTTCACCAAGGGCAACGGAACTGGGGGCAAGTCCATCTACGGCAACAAGTTTGAGGATGAGAACTTCACGCTGAAGCATGAGGGCCCGGGTAAGAATAAGATTCGCTTGATAAGAGCTTTTGTCTGTGCCTTTGATAGTATTTTTATTTGCCATTTTGATTGCTGTGGGATGCATTTTTCAGCAGTTCGATGTGGCGTGTGGTTTCCTTCATCTTCCTACAGTATGCCTGGTCACATGGAAAGTTGAGCAACATATCCTCATGGCTCTAGACCTCTCTGTAGTGTTGGTCCTCTGCCAGCAGTGGTGTGCTGTACCTTTAACTTAAGATGTGGTTTAGCTATGGCCAAATTGCCTGGAATGTTTCGATCAGATTTTTCAAGTGAAGAATGTTTGATCCTGGAAAGTGCCGGCATCAAGGCTGACAACTAAGCATATCAGTTTGCTATAAGTCTGCTGCAGGATTGCATGTTTGGCAGTAGAAGGCAGTGCAGCAAAATTCATTGTTTTGTACTTTGCCCTGCCCTCAACCAGTGGTGAAGTGTGGGAAGACCCTCCTTTTCCAGTGGCTTGGAATCTATCCTTTATATGTCAATATAATGGCATGGCAATGTGTACAAATTCAAAATCCTTTAAAGCTTTTCACACATTTTAGAAAGACCTACCTGAGTTAATGCACGCTAGAAATTAGGTTTTTAATTGTTTTAAGTTTGGCCACAACATGACTTGGGCTGTGTGGTACCGTTTTCAGTTTCCTCAACACCACGTTGAGTGGCTGAAAATGGTTTAGACGAAAGACATCTTGGATTTTCATAAAATGGCATATGAGAGGTGTTTCAGCTGAAATAGTTTAACGGATATTAGTATAATTTTACATACATGAGAACTTTTAATTGGGTTGCAATTTCAATGACGAGGCCAAAGTTGGCTGCACCCTTCAGTTTAGCCCCTTGATTACCCTGGACCCGATTATTAATACCAGAGTTGGCAGTTTAAGTGGGCTAATTTTACGGGTATGTCCTGCCCTCTGGAGGCAAGATGTTTTACTGGCCACCAGAGCAATACAACATTGGAAAATTACATGTCAGGCTGCAGCTGCTTAAAAATTCTGAACATCTTTAAACTTGTGAAATGATGTCCTCCATATTTTTCTAAAACAATGGTATCTTGTTTGCAAAAAACAAGTGTGCAACACTATTTCCAAGTATGGCTTCTATTTATGTAGTGTGTAATAGTAAGCAGTGGCGGTAAGCGAAGTGGGTCCATAATGTTCTAGTTTGTGTATTGTAATTTGTGGATATTCGCTGTTATAATTGATCATTTATCCATTCTACAGGCATCCTGTCAATGGCTAATGCTGGACCAAACACGAACGGCTCTCAGTTCTTCATCTGCACTGCAAAGACTGCATGGCAAGTAGCTTACATTGTCCATTCTTGGTTACATACAGACTTCAGAGGTCCCTCTTATACAAATCCAAACATGAAGTATATGATAAAACGCCAAACAATCGAGATTTAATAACACTGGTGTCATAAACAGCCGGAAGGTATGACTGCCATACTTTTCATGCATGTCATGTGACACCGCATTGCATGTACGATGATCTCAGGCTTGTCTCAGCCACCAGCTGGAAGCTGAACAATGTGTGACTAGTTGTTTGGACCGCAAACTCTGTTTATTGTAGCCATCCCAACAGACTGCATTTAAACCACCAACAGTAAACTGGCTTTGTGCTCATTAAGACTCCTTGGTTATAGTAAGGTCGTCAACATCCCCTCAAGCTGTTGTAAGCAATGCAGCCACATGTCTTGCTTCTGAGCTCGTGGCTTGGATAATGCAATTTGGTGGTCACATTCCATGCGTGCAAGATGGGAGTTGTGTCTTCCCTCCGCTTGTGAGCACACCTGTTATTGGCTGCCTATCCAGGCAACGTCAACATACAACCCTGCTTGGATTCTGAGATGTATTGAGATTTAGTTTTATGCATACTTTGGATAAATTGGAATAGAATTGTTATAAGCATAATTTAAGAATACATCATTAAATGCCTGGTGCTCTTTGGGTGTTAATGGATTACTCGGCGATTTGACACTGCCAGCCCAAACATGCATGTAAATGCATATAGATTTTACTTTTTGAAATGCATTGTATAATGGGTGTCACTCGTGTCAAGTTAATAATGTAATTTAAACATTGTAAAGGACTTGTTTTTAGGAGTTTATTTAAATCACTGACTTGAATGTTACTGCAAATGCATTCGTTGTACATGCAGTAATGAAAAAGCATCAAATTGAGCATTATGCAATGAGTACATTGCATAAAGTTATCAATGCGATAGCTTAGTTTATGTATATAGTGCTGCATTTTTTGCATGATTTATTTCACCCAGGTCCCCCCTCCCATCGTGACAAGAAACTTGTGTTGTGCTCTCTAGGCTGGACAACAAGCACGTTGTGTTTGGGAAAGTGATAAACGGACTGGACGTCATCAAGAAGGTTGAGAGCTATGGAGCGTCGAGTGGAAAGACGTCCAAGAAGATTGTCGTTGCCGACTGTGGAGAACTCTAAAACAAACCAAAGCTCCCCATTGTCTTGTCAGATTGTGGTGAGATGGCACGAGTTGGCTATTCAAAATCAGAACTTTATCTTTAGTTGAACTCGATGAGTTCAACTAAATCCATTGCGCTTGCCAAAATTGTGTCGTTTGTAATTGGGCCTTAGAAACAACTATTAAATTATCGATTGACTCAATTTTAGTTTTGAACTAATCCCCAACAGGATTTTCTTTGGGAATGTGAACAGGCAATTTGGATGAGGTTGCTTAGTAAATGGTTGTATGCTATTCTGGGACATGTATTTACGCAATCCTTGTGAATTGGTAGCATCATTATGATTTTTTTAAACCTCAAGGAAATGTGATTAACTGTCTTGTGGAATGGTGCAAATAGCAAGAGGTTAGACTTTTCGCTTTGTCCAAACTAGTCGCACTTTGTTGGAGATTTTTTTTTCCCTTTCAAGTATCCCCAACTCGTGCCATTTTTGCCAAATCTGCAGTTTTTTGTCCACAGGTAGCCATGCAGTATAATCGCTTCTACTTTTTTGTTGTAGTCCACTGCAAGAATGTTTATTTGGATTGGTTGTGGTTCTTTTTTAATGATCCCGTAACCCTACTTTTCCCCATTCATAAAAGTTACAGTGAATGTCATTGTGTTTCTGTACTGCTGATTTGAACAGTAAAGATCAAGGCAACCTTATATCTTTCGACTTTTTTATTGCATGCGATAGTGTCACTGGGTTCGTTTGTTTGGCTCTACCAATTGTACAAACGGGGTTTACCTTTCATTGGTACAGGTGTCTGAACGGTACGCAGACATTTCTCGGCAAGCGAACACTAACGTTAAATGATCAGATTTCCTATCGACTCCCTATGTTAAAAGCGGAGTTGTGTTTCAGCCACATGTTTCCACAAACAAATTTATAACGTGTAATGAAATGTAACGCCACCATAAAGAACGACAAGAAAATTCCCCTTTTAGTTTGATTTATCGCCTCCACTCAGTCACACAGCCCTCGATCTCCACGTCCCGCGTGCCTTCCCCAAGTCAAAGATGTATGTTGAACAACTTTCGTGCACCGGACCGTTTAGTCTTAACAGACTGGCAAGTGCCGTTCGTTAGGGTCTAATGAAGCTATTCTTTGGTTCCTTCGTTAAAGTCACGTAGAAAGAAAAACGATAGAATACATTTTGATTGCAACACCAAGCCAATTGTCATCAGGTAGAAAACAAACCTAGTAAACTTAGAAATACAATACATTAGTCGACTAACACAACGGTCAACACCCTACCTGGTTGATTACGTTCTTCCAAAGATTGCTAAATTTGAGACAACGCAGACGTCGAATGAAGGTCGGCAGAGCAACACCAAGGGGTGGGGGTGGCCGGTACCATGCCTGGCGGCCTTTGCTTACTCGTGGCGATGTTTACACCCCGCACACCACGAACTTGTCTGAATTGTACCTAGGGGTGGCTCGAACCGTTTTGGATTATCGTCACCTCGTGTTGGCCGCGTGCGGGAATTGCACAGCAGAGGCCATCTGCTAAACAAACAGCTGCGGGCCGTGGTTCGGCCACTCACTTTGGGGTGCATTTGATCCGTCTCTACTCGAGGTGAACATTTTGCTCTTTGGGAGCACATTGGGTTAATTTAGAATTGCTCGCTACAGTAAATAGTCGCAAACATGTTTAAGTGAGATGTGCCTATACCTAGATCTGTTTTAAACGTTATGGGTATACTTTTGGAAGGCACTTTGGTAATAAACGGCCCGAATTGAAGGCTGCAACAAATGCGAGGGTATTTGGGGCAGCCCATCTTTAATGCCTTCGGATTTGCAACTGAAATAAGTTTGAATTTTTATTTTCTGAAGGATGGTAATTGGCTTATGCCAGGAAGCTGTTCCGCACTAAAAAAAATTCTCATACGTGACCATACTTCTGGCAGTGAGTGAACGATGCTGCTATACTAATTCAGAAAACCGACTTGGTAAATTTTTCAGTTCTGCAACTGGATTTACCTTGAAAGGAAAAACGACCCGACGGTACAGTACTTGCCAAGTAATATCGCTCTGCACATGGATTGACCTGCCCCTTTAGGCTGACACCATCTCGCAACTCGGCATATTTGGGAGTAAGGTCTGCCTGGTACAGCAAACCGTGTGCCTCCGTGTGTGCATGCACTAAATTTTTCCACACCCATGATTTTCCACCCATATGCTGTCCCAGGCTTGTAAATGTATCCATAGTACAGGATGCGCCTTGTTGCTCTTGCAGACAAGTTGGCTACCTCGATCTTGCACGCAAGCTCAATCGCTCAAATAGACGGGCCCTTTGAATGAAGACATCAACATTATTAAGCCCTTTGGTTAAATAATTTTGGCAGTTTCTAAAACTGTACATGCACTCTTTTAACTTGTCATTTCTGTTGATGCTGCCGCAGCTGCAACTCGCCTACGAACGGGCACCATTTCTACTTTTTACTGCGAGAATCTGTTACGGATATGGAGTTGTGCAGCACCGTGGGTAGGGCTCGATGCCTGTATGGCAAGCAGGAGGGAATTGCTCATTCCGCACCCTGCACAAGTGGTGAGAGACTGCTATTAAGGCAGATGTGGACATGTCGCGACCCCCAGTGGCTGGGGTTTTAAGAGATTTGGAGGGAGAAGGGATCGTGGACGGCTGGGTGGAATCGTGTTGCCTAAACTAATTGCAGGGTGTGGCTGAAGACGTCAGGTGTTGGTGAGCCACGGCAGGGGATGTGATGGGGGCCGTGGCATAATACCGTGGGGTGTGGGGATGCGGTGTTGGCAGGGTTGGGGGTCGAGGCAGTGGGGGGGTGTACCGTGAGAGGTGACTTGAGTAGCAGAGTAATGTGCGGGGACGGTGAGGGTTTACTTACGGTGCGGTGCGCCATAGTTTGTGCACACTGAAAACGGTGGGCGCTGGGAGGCTGAGGATAGTTTTGGCTTGGTTAGGCACTGCTGTTTGATGTTTTGTCATGCGGGGCTTGGGGAGCGGTGGGTAACCCGATCTCCCCAACCTGAGCTCCTCCAGCAGTGTGATAAGTCAGCTGGAATGCACGTGTCGCCTCGTGCCCGGGTGATTGTGGACACGCCCGCATTGTCCCAAGTGCCAGTGTGGCTTGGTAGCTATGAGACTCATTGTCACCTGGGGCCCAGGTGACGAGGAACGTACCGCTCGATTGTCCTGGGTGTTGTCGTTGCGTTGGGGGAGTTAATGGAGGGATGTATAAGGGGGTAGCCAGTGTTATCCTATTGCACCGTTAAGAATGTTTTTAAATCCTTTATATTAAGTTCGCTTGCTTGCTTAGGACCGTGCAAATCTTTCGGTCGTTTTTTAACCCACTTCCCGTGATCCAATCGAGCTGACATTTTCCGCACAGACTCGTTGTGTGTGACAATTAATGGTCGTGAAAATTTTTTTCCAAAATTTTACACTTTTTAGGACAAAAATATTATATTTATTTACCAATTGCTTAATGGTGCAATGCAATAATCTGACCCATAGGTGGCAGCCATCTCAAGCCAGAGGACGAGAGGACTCTAGCCGCCACGCATATAAAGGATTTATAGTGAAAAACGTTGTTTTTACGGGTTATACTTATTTTTAAATATCAAAGTACATGAGTGGGCCTCTCGAGTCTTGGGCTGTAGTAGCAGTACCAGACGCTCCATCTTCAGAGCCAACACGATCTGTAAGTATTCGGGGAGATATCCCGAGTACCCTCCGAGTTTGGATTCTAACCAATCTTTTAAAGTTAACACTCCAAATAGTTTAACATGTAGGTTTTCGCGACCAGTAGTACTATCCATAATATATGTATTTTTTTGGGTTAGACTGCGGTCTATAATACAGTTTTTTTTTGGGTTAAACTGCGAACCCAAAAAAAATCTATATGGATAACACTCCAAATTTATGATTTCCCCCCAATGTTATTGCTTTCCAGACTACCGCGCCTATTACTGTACCCTCGTCGTTATGTGGCTAGGAGTAAGGATCCACAAAACATCACAATTTAGAGGCACTGCACTCGCTGATGAGACGCTATATGCAAAAAAACGCAGTTTGTACCTAATCAATGTTGCTGTAATTGCGTACTCCCAGAAGGCAGTGGGGTTGAGACGGTTGTCAAGAAATGTTGACTTAAAGCTTTCGTCACTGCAGAAATTCATATTTTTTGGTTCTTTTGGTAAAGCCACGTAGATAGAAAAATAATGATAAAAATATCACGACGTTTCGATAGCAACACGAGCAATGGTCATCAGGTGCGGCATTGCCACTGTTGCTGTTCACATTAACACAGCTGCTGCAGTGGCAGTGGTGCGGCATCGTCATGTTGCTGTTCACATGAACACAGCTGCTGTAGTGGCAGTGGTGCAGCATCGTCATGTTGCTGTTCACATGAACACAGCTGCTGCAGTGGCAGTAGTGCGGCATCGTCATGTTGCTGTTCACATGAACACAGCTGCTGCAGTGGCAGTGGTGCGGCGTTATCATGTTGCTGTTCACATGAACACAGCTGCTGCAGTGGCAGCAGTGCGGCGTTGTCGCTGTTGCTGTTCACATGAACACAGCTGCTGCAGTGGCAGCAGTGCGGCGTTGTCGCTGTTGCTGTTCACATGAACACAGCTGCTGCAGTGGCAGTAGTGCGGCATCGTCATGTTGCTGTTCACATGAACACAGCTCTGCAGTGGCAGTGGTGCGGCGTTATCATGTTGCTGTTCACATGAACACAGCTGCTGCAGTGGCAGCAGTGCAGCATTGTCGCTGTTGCTGTTCACATGAGCACAGCTGCTGCAGTGGCAGTAGTGCAGCATTGTTGCTGTTGCTGTTCACATGAACACAGCTGCTGTAGTGGCAGTGGTGCGCCATTGTCAGTGTTGCTGCAGTGGCAGTTGTGCACTGCCCATGACTCTGGTTGCCGCTTATACCAAACCCTGTAAAATTTTGCCTTCAGAGGCTAACTCCTTTGCCTGATGACGACCGCGTGTGTTGCGATCGAAACGTCGTTTTTTGTTATTGTCTTTGAACGTATCTACGTGACTTAATCGAAAGACCCAAAGAATATGAATTCCTGCAGTCACGAAAGCTTTAAGTCTGAATTTGTGGGGAATAACAGCCATTTTCTATACGTTTGAGGCATAAGCAATTAGGAAATAACACTTACTACCCAGGAACAAAAAATAAATAAAAATTTGTTACGCATTGTTATCATTACGTCGACAAGTAAGCAGATTACTTTAATAAGCAACAAGAAATACGACGCATTCTACATGTTAACCCTCATTTTATGTCAGTGAGCACTAAATATGTCCGTCTCGTCGAATTTCAATGTTTCGCATTATCCTGATTGTGTTTTATGCGGGGCCACCACGTTGCACCGGACAATTGAGAGTCGAAAACTCTCACGCCTGGGAAACATGTCAATGTGCAGGGCGAATCCATGTGACGCGTGCCCATCACGCCTGCTGAGTCATGCGGACAGCAGATCGCACCATTGACATATTGAACCGAATATGTGACGATATTGAGCTGGAAATGGTGCACAAGAACAACAGCCTTAACATAAAACACAAACATGAAAGGCGACGTTTTGGCCAATGATCCTTCTTCAGAGCAAACACTTTGAGAGGCGCTTCTTCGCCCGTCTAAAACCCCCCTCCCGATATTTATTCGGAAGCCACTGGAGCTATGCAATAAAAAAAAACTACATTGAAAACTCGTTTTTTAAACAGTTTTGTGTCTGTTTAGTTTGTTGTCCTTTCTCCCGCACCTACGATTAGCACGGTTGGATAGGTACGGTGCGGCAGAAGTTTGCCACACACATACAGAGAGATTTGTTCAGTACCAGCAAACACCGGACCGAATTCGTCACGGAGTCTCATCGGCAGTCAGGCTCGCTTGAATCAATGCTGCGCAAATGCCGACTTTACAGGCAATACGGGGTCCTTGTTCGACGCAACATTATATAATACAAAACCAGCAAAATTATTGGCATCGTTATGGAGAATATAATAATGTCTCTGAACATAAAAAATAATTATATATCTATAAAAAACAACATTATCACCTCCAACAGTGGCATTCATCCAGTGTCAAGTATTCGCACATTACGACTGCAGGGGAACCTGTTCCCTAAACATAAACATGGAGGGGATGCAAGCTATGTTTAAATCCTTTATATTAAGTTCGCTTGCTTGCGTGCTTGCTTGCTTGCTTACGACCGTGCAAACCTTTCGGTCGTTTTTTAACCCACTTCCCGTGATCCAATCGAGCTGACATTTTCCACACAGACTCGTTGTGCTAGACAATTAATGTTCGTGAAAAAAATATTCCCAAAATGTTACACTTTTTAGGCAAAAAAAATGTATTTTACATATATTCAAATAGAACTCATTCATGGCTTTGACTGAACGTCACAGTGTAAGAGCCCAGAGCGTAACCCCTCCACAGGCCGTGGCGGAGTAGCGCACAGTTGGTAGCGCCCTCGCTTCCCATGCCAAAGGTGGCGGGATCGATCCCCGCGTCCTCCACAGGCGAATATATTTTTAAATCCTTTATATTAAGTTCGCTTGCTTGCTTAGGACCGTGCAAATCTTTCGCTCGTTTTTTAACCCACTTCCCGTGATCCAATCGAGCTGACATTTTCCACACAGACTCGTTGTGTGTGACAAATAATTTTCTTGAAAAAAAAAATTCCAAAATTTTACACAGTTTAGGGAAAACAAATTAAATATTTAATTACCAATTGCTTAATGGTGGCAGACAATCATCTGACCCATAGGTGGCAGCCATCTCAAGCCAGAGGACGAGAAGACTCTAGCCGCCACGCATATAAAGGATTTATAGTGAAAAACTTTGTTTTTACGGGTTTACTTGTTTTTATTCATAATTATTGTTCATTATCACTTTTACTCAACATCATCCGTACACGTCGCCAGTAAGTTTGATGTTAAATGGTCAAGAAATGATGGGAGTGGCAGCCAAATCATGTGGACGCACCCGATAGTGCGTAAATTAAGGAGACGGAGCAATGGAATCAGATTGCGTGCAGGCGCCGGGTCGATTATTACTTCTATATCGTGAGACTAGCTGTACTACCCGGCTTCGCCCGGGACTTGTATCCACCACGGCCGGCCGCCTTTGTCTCCCCAGTGGCGATGTTAATACGCCACACCAGTTACTCGTTTGAGGCTGAGTCGACCTATGGGAGGTTCAAATAATCTTGACCGGTGGTGGCCATGAGCGGGAATCGAACTCGGTTCGCCGGGTTGGTAGCGCAGCGTAGCGTTAACCACTACACCCACCGCTCCTCACACACACAGACGCACAGACACACACACAGACACACACACATAGACACACGCAGACACACACAGACAGACACAGACAGACACACAGACACACAGACAGCACGCTAACCACTACACTACCGCTCCCCACACACCACACACGCACACACACAGACACACACACAGACACACACACACAGACACACACACACAGACAGCACGCTAAGCACTACACTACCGTTCCCCCTACACAACACACGCGCGCGCGTCCATAGGTACACATACACGCGCTTGCTGCAGACACACACGACTGTCAGGGTGCGTACGGCAGTAAACGACTGCAATAATAAAGCGGCAATGCTGCGCGAGGAACGCCTTAGACCTGCAACACATTTGTGTAATGCGAGCGTAAACACACAAACACATACAAACACATACACACACATACATACACACACATACACACAAACACATACATACAAACACATACACAATACACACACACATACATGCAGACACACAGACACACACATAACACACATACATACACACACATACATACACAGAAACACATACACACACATACATACACACACACATACATACACACAAACACATACACACACGTACATACACACATACATACAGACACGCAGACATACACATAAACACATACAAAAAAAACCACATACATACACACACACATACAAACACACAAACACATACACACACATAGATACACACATACATACAGACACACAGACATACACATAAACACATACACACATACACATGACCCGGCTTCGCCCGAGACTTGGATCCACCCCGCCCGGCCTCCTTTGTCTCCCCAGTGGCGATGTTAATACGCCACACCAGTTACTCGTTTGAAGCTGAGTCGACCTAGGGGAGGTTAAAATAATCGTCACCGGTGGTGGCCGTGAGCGGGAATCGAACTCGGTTCGCCGGGTTGGTAGCGCAGCGTAGCGTTAACCACTACACCCACCGCTCCTCACACACCACACACGCACACACACACAGACACACACACAGACACACGCAGACACACACAGACAGACACACACACACAGACACACAGACAGCACGCTAACCACTATACTACCGCTCCCCACACACCACACACGCACACACACAGACACACACACACAGACAGCACGCTAAGCACTACACTACCGTTCCCCCTACACAACACACGCGTGCGCGTCCATAGGTACACATACACGCGCTTGCTGCAGACACACACGACTTTGAGGGTGTGTACGGCAGTAAACGACTGCAATAATAAAGCGGCAATGCTGCGCGAGGAACGCCTTAGACCTACAACACATTTGTGTAATGCGAGTGTAAACACACAAACACATACAAACACATACATACACACATACATACAGACACACAGACATACACATAAACACATACACACATACACATGACCCGGCTTTGCCCGGGACTTGGATCCACCACGCCCGGCCGCCTTTGTCTCCCCAGTGGCGATGTTAATACGCCACACCAGTTACTCGTTTTGAGGCTGAGTCCCTCCCTCGCCACTCTCCCTCCCTCGCCACTCTGCCTCCCTCGCCACTCTGTAGAGGACGTGAAATTTGTATGAATTTACCTCAGAGTGGCGTGTTGGGTGTCGAGGCCTAGCACCGTGCAGAGCCTCCCGCCTTGCCTGATTTTCCCACCCGGCGAACGCTGGGTACGGGTGCCGGTCCCCCCCCCCCCCCCCCGCGCTATGAAAAATGGCGTCCACCCCGCGGCGAAAAGTTGCTACTCGTTGCCAGGGGCAACCGCCGTCCAATGAAAGCGGCGAAGGCGTCGCTGGCCGTTGCCAGGGGCAACCGCCGTCCAATGAAAGTGCGTATGGTCCGAAATCTACACACACATACACAGACAGACAGACATGCACGATTTTATATATATAGATGACGAGAGACGTCAACGTCTTGGAGAAGGCCTTCATCCAGCAGTGGCTTAATTCTGGCTAATGATGACGAGGCATGTTGTCGCGTGGCCTCGCGTGTGGTGAGAATGCGTGAGTCCGGCTGAGTCGCCTTTGAAAATGAAGAAACATGAGCTTCTTGGCTCTCAATGGCATTTACTCGGGCACTTCAACTTCTGAACTTTCTTCTGAACATTAACGTCGGCGGGATGAGTGGTGTCCCACTGCGTGCGGTAGGCGCGGTGAGTGAGGGGCTTGGCCGTGTGATGTCCCTGTGGGGTTATGAGGAGGATGATTCGTAAGCTGGTGGTGCGTTACGGCATGAGCCAATGATGATACGGTTGTTTTTTTTTAAATGAAAATGTCCACGACGCTCCATGTAACCCGCAACAATTAACGCCCGTTCCTAGGACGTACTGTAACTGGATTAATTGCTTGGAAAAAAATTGAGTGCAAAAGATTTAGATCTTTGTTTCGACCTCATTTGGTGTTGCCGTGTTCTGCTCTCTGTTCGTTTGCCCTCGTGTTTGGTGTCAGCTTTGTTTATGCCACCTTACATTACATGTTGAATGTTACGCAATCGCATTTTCCGCTCTTTTTTTGCTGTGTAACCCAAATGTTCCTTAAAAAATGGACTCGAAACAACAATAATAATGACAATTTCTAAAGTGCCCGTACCATGGCAAGCCATTAAAGTCGACGGGATCTTACCTAATAACGAATTGGCATGTTCTGTATACGTGACAAACCTTACTAATTGATGTGTCGGGTGGTGGGGGGTGGGGGTTTAACGATACATCCCAAAAAACCCCTCTATTATAGATCTCACCTGGGTTAAATAAATGGAATGAATGAGTGAGTCGGGGCGCATGGTCGTGAGAAGGTAATGGAGATGCGAAGCGGGTAACCTGATGCCCAGGCGGCACTTACGATGGACAAGATGCCAGGTGAGTTGTCGATGAGGATGGTTGGTAAGGCGGGCGGGGTGTTTGCCGGGCATGGCGAGGGGGGGGAAATAGTCCAACAGCCGCAACAACATTCTTATATAAAACCCACAATGTCTGGCGCACTCTTTTGCGCGGCGGAGGATGACTGCACCGTGCGGTCTCCGTGCGTATAAAAGGGGCGCAGCTCACACGTTGTCCCCCCACCACCATCGATCTCGGGGTTGCAACAACTGGCAAGGCAGGACACGGCAGTGGCATTAATTCATAATTAGTCTCAGAGTGAGATAAAGAAAAGTAGCAATGGCAAAGCCACAAGTGTTTTTTGAACTGACTGCCGATGGTGAGGCGCTGGGCCGTGTCGTCATGGAGGTAAAGACCAAATGTTTTGTTGAAGATGTACGGAATGCGCATGTTTTGTGCTAGGTGTGCCCAGCCTTGACAACATTTGACCAATGCATTACACGGACTAGGTTCGTATAGGGTACACGTTCTTATGTCTGCGGGCTGTCGCGTGGTGGTTTTTTTTTGCACTTGCCTGTGATCACAATAACTTGGGTTTGATGCCTGGTCATGATGTGCAACACCACGTGGCAATTGGTGACAGGTGCCTGTCACTGAACGTGAGGTGGACCTTCAAGGTTGACTCAACCTAAAATGAGGACCAGGTGCGATGATCAGGTTGACATCATCACGTGGGAGACACGGGTGTGGCGCCGGCCACATGGCACAATCAGAACGTAACAGGCGACCGCGAGTTCTATCACCAGTGCAGGTCTTTTTTCCTGGATTATCATATTTGACGCGGGATTGTCCCAGGAATTCTGTAGAGCTTTCAAACTTGTACGTACCGCAGTATTTATTAAGCAGCCGACGCATTGGTGGACTTGCACAATAAAAATGCGCAATTTGCTAAACACTGCAATTTTTAAAAAAATACATTTCTCTCACTGCCAATCAATGAGTCTAAATCTGCCAGAGACAATTGAAGACGTAGCCTTTCACGACCAATATTATTCACTAGGGGTTGTTCGGGGGCGACTGCGGTGCCCCTCACAACCATTTACGGCCTTCGGCCAGGAAAGTCACGAAAACAATTGCACACGAACGACGCATTCACACAAGCACCCGATGCTCCGTTTTGAAGTTTTAAAATTAAACATCTTTCAATTGTATCATGTTTTGAATTAGATAACTTTATTTCTTCATTAAAAGCTTTTACCATTTGACATCTGGAGGACTGAATTGAAAACGACATTTCGTGTGAATTTTCTCTCGTCGTTAAGTCGATGGTCTTGCTGGGGGTTCGGTTCGATGCGGACTTTCACTAGTTTGGGATTGCGGGATCGAGATAAGGCGACACAGAGCTGCTGGCCGTGCGAGAAGACCGCCGTCTGCAGATCGATTCCAACGTAATCGAACGTCTGTCCCTGCGCCTCCGTCGTTCATGCAGAGGGCGCGTAGGTTTGCAGCGCCCCCTGCATGAAAACGACGGAAAGTGCAGCGTTCATCACAGGGAGATAAAGTTGTGCGCTTTAAAAAGAGAATAATGAATGTTGTTGGGTTAGATCACGTAAAGTGTACCAGCGTCATCATGATCAACAAGTGCAAGTAGTCACTTATCGCGAGCACAACTAGATTGATTGTATTGTCAGGGAATTAAAAAAAAAGAATCAGCATACCGGAGAAATCTGATGAGCTACAGAGCTATTATTAAATCCTTTATATTAAGTTCGCTTGCTTGCTTGCTTGCGTGTTTGCGTGCTTGCTTGCTTGCTTACGACCGTGCAAATCTTTCGGTCGTTTTTAACCCACTTCCCGTGATCCAATCGAACTGACATTTTCCACACAGACTCGTTGTGCGAGACAATTAATTTTCGTGAAATTTTTTTTCCAAAATTTGACACTGTTTAGGGGAAAAAATATTAAATATTTAATTACCAATTGCTTAATGCTGGCAGACAATCATCTGACCCATAGGTGGCAGCCATCTCAAGCCAGAGGACGAGAGGACTCTAGCCGCCACGCATATAAAGGATTTAGAGTGAAAAACTTTGTTTTTACGGGTTAATTTTTTACAATGCCGTCACACATGCCAACTAAGAACAAAAAGGGTGACTTTGGGTCTCCTAAAATAAAACCATTTTGGTCGCTGTCCGTGATTTGTCTCAAATTCGGAACTAGTTCGGCAGTAGTGGAAAATGTGTCAACTTACAATGCATAACCATAGCACCTTCGCGATGGCCTTTGCACTGGTTGTTTGAGCCTCAACCAATGACAATGAACCCGAAGGATGCCTCACCTTTGTACAGTCGGTAATGGGTGTATCTCAACAGAGGGCTCCGCGTCAAACTTCAACTGTGGAAGTCTTTCACCTGCACCTGGGTATGAAGGAAAAAAAACTTACAAAATTATTTTTATCGAATCTTAAGCCATTTGTATGTGAAGTATGGGAATTGACGGCAGGAACTTCTTGACGGGAACACACTTTTTATTAAATCTTTACGTGTCAAAATACAATGTGTAGTCTCCTTTCTTCCGACTTCACACTCCACTACTCTCGTGTAAACTCTAGGCCTCTGGCTACACACGATACCCTTCACTCGTGTAGACCCTATGCCTCTGGCTACACCATACACTCGACTCGTGTAGACCCTATGTCCCTGGCTACACACACTGCAGTCGGCTCGTGTAGACCTTATGCCTATGGCTACACACACTACACTCGCCTCTGGGTTACACAGAGTCCCGGTCCCGTTAGGACAGCGGGACTAGGTACCGCAGGGCCCTAGGTCTTCATCCCCGTCTTCATTCTTCGCTGGTTACACACTGCCCTCACGCCTGTGTGCATCCCCTTTTATAGCCCCTGCTCACGAGAGGCGGAGCTGATGCGTACTTCAACGTGAGCATCGCTCCTTAATGAACCAATCACGACGCACTCTCTCTACGATCCGTTTTCCCCAGCGCGTGTTAACACTCCTCCACCAATCACACCGCGCTGCCACCCGATCACTCCCTCTCAGCACGTCACCGGCCCACAGCCAATCAGTACCCCGTAACCCACGACCCCGCGCTGACCCCTGATCCTCCACCGTCAGCGCGCGTCACCACCTACACAGCCAATCATTACGCGCTGGCATACGATCTTTAATCCCAGCGCGTATCACCTCTACATCACCCCCTCCCACATAGCTTGCAGCCGGCCCGGCTGTTAACCAACAACACAACCTAACGTCAATGCAGTAACAAGAAACTCCACCTCTCAGTGTGCCCCGTAACGCAACAACAACAACACAACACAACACTTAAATATGAAGCAATATACAGCCCGACGAACAACACAATAAAAGCGAACACCGGAAAACGAACACAATAAAAGCGAACACCGGAAAACGAACGCGCCAAGTGTCTCTGTGACTAAACGCAGTGCCGAGGCGCTCCGGCTGCCTCGACTCCTCACGTGGCAGGTCACACAAAGTAGCGCGACCTAGCGCGAGTCCGTCTGGCCGGTCCGTCGTATGGGACGGGACGTTGGCGACCGTCCGGTGGCTCCGGCCGCTCAAGATCCGGCCGCCGGTGGTCGGCAGCTGTCAGTTCCGAGACACCTGGGAGCGGATCAGGCGGAGACATGTGAGGAGCAGGCAAAGACAATTCCCCCTCAGGGTCGCTGGTCACGTCACATGCTCGGCCCTCATGACACAAGGGGAGGCCATACGGAGGCGAGAACGGTTTCAGTCGGGAGGGGTGGACGTACCAACGGCGTTTTCCCCATTTTATCTGAACGCACTGGGGGCGTGCAACCCGCACGACCTCCACGGGTCCCCGCCACGGCTTCAACAATTTAGGCGACGTAGCCAAAGGTGCCTGCGGGCAATGCAGCCAGGCCCTGTCACCTGGTTCCCAATTGTGCACGGACACCTTCCGTGCCCGCAACCGCTCGTTTGCAATTTGGCGAGCCCGTGAATTAAGCCGTGCGGCCTCCCTTGCCTCTGTCAGCTTATGAATATTAAATTTAATATGCTCTGCCAATTTCGAATTAGCTCGTGGTGCGGACAGACCCAGCTGCGTTTCCATGGGCGGGTCGGCTTCCCGACCGTACATCAGATAAAACGGGGAAAATCCCGTAGCTGCATGGGGGGCCATTCTATACGCGGCGAGGACCCCAGGGACCTGCAGGTCCCAATCAACATGCGCCTCACACACCTGCTGGCACAACATAGAAGTCAATGTCCTGTTAAGCCTCTCCACCATCCCGTCCGTCTGCGGGTGGTACGGGGAGGTACGCACCTTCTTGGTACCCAACAGGTCGCACACCTCTTGCAGTAATTTACTCGAAAAATTCTTCCCTTGGTCAGTCAGCAAGCGTTCGGGAGCCCCCTTGTCCAGGACGTAGCCCTGGACAAAGGCGTCCGTCACAGTCGCCGCCGACTGGTTGGCGAGTGGCCACGCCATAGGCCACCGGGTAAAATATTCGACCCCCACCAACAGGTACTTATTACCCCTAGGCGTGACCGGAAAAGGCCCCAGAATATCGAGTGCAACGAGCTCGTTAGTGCGCGAGACCTGGATGGATTGCAGCGGTGGATTAGCTGGCACAGGCGGTGGTTTCCGTCTGGCGCACTCAACACAACCCTTCAGAATATTCACCACGTCACCCCCCATTCCCGGCCAATAATAGTCACGCTGAAGCAGGGCAAGCGTTTTGTTAACTCCCAAATGCAAGAGGCGTTCGTGTGCGGCCAAGACAACCTTCCCCCTCACAGCAGCAGGCACCACAATCGCATGCCGCCGGGACAAACTGTCCCATCTCATCAATAGGCCTTGCTTAAGCTCGTAGGAGCCAGTTCGGTCGTGGTTACCCTCGGAACCCCCCGTCTTGCGGCGCAATGCCAGCAGGGAGCTGTCCGCCATTTGGAGACGGCCCCACTCAATCAATGACATTGAGAGCAGCGAGTCCTGACCCCCAGGGGTAGCGGGACCATCCCCAATTGATGTGCTCGCGGCCGCAACCAACGCCTCCCTACCTTCCGTAACCGGCGGTTTACAGCGCGCCGATCCCGATAAGCACGCACATTTGTGACAAGGCAACAACCGCGACAGGGCATCGGCATTTGTGTGTCGCAAGCCTTTACGGTACGTAGTCGTGAACTGATAGTCCTGGAGGACTTCCAACCACCGCGACAATTGGCCCGAGGGCTGGGCGACCCGCAATGAATACTGGAGCGCTGCGTGGTCCGTCCGGACCGTGAAATGACGACCATAGAGATATGGCCTGAATTGTTGTACAAAAAAAACAATGGCAAGCAGTTCGCGACGGGTGACGCAGTAGCGCTGCTCTGCCGGCGACAACACCCTGCTACCATAGGCGACCA